TAGGTCATTCAAAATTTTCAGTGTTTTTTTTTCTTACAATATTGTTTTTAACTTTAGTAGTGTGTCTGCCATTCAAAACCCATTTTTACGGCATTTATTTCAAAATTTTTATTAAATACGCTCGTGAATTGCTCATTTGTTATTGCTTACTCCATTTTCACTAAGATTCCCGCTTTTAAAGTTGAATAATGTAACGATACCGATAACCCTCCACCATAATGTTTAAAACTTGGGGTATTGTTTTTAAAATTTTGTATATTGAAGGGCTTAAATCACACTCATTGTCGACATTTTAAAATTTTCGGTAGAAATTGGGACTCATCTGACCAACTACGCAAATTTGAGCTAAAAAATACGAAATTAAATATTAAAATCGAAAAAAATGTTCATGCTTTTAAATATGTTGGTGAAAGATTGAAGGTAAGGGTCAGTTGACTCTTCGTATGTGTCCAATTTTTAACGTTAGGTGTGGGGAACCTAGGTGAAATTTATTCAAAAAGCTCCAATGAACGCTATGTGAGCATATTACAGTCAAATCTTAAGATCAGTGCCTTCGAAATGGACTTGGGCAACTTTTTATTTCGGCAAGATAATAAGCTTAAGCACTTGATAAAGTTAAAAAATAACATTACTGTAGGAAAAATCACTGAAAAATTTAAATAAGTTGCTCAGAGCACCGCCCTAAATCCAATAGATTAATTTTGGACCACAATTGATCAAAAAATTACGATGAAATAGTGACCAAAAACGGATTTCTTTTGAAAATTATCATATGGGGAAAGCAAGGGGAAGGATGGAGAACAAAATTAGCAAAATGGCTTAAGTAGATACATATATTAAAATCAGAACTAAAATAGATAATAGATTTGATATACAAGAAATTTAAATAATGATATATAAAATTTACACTTTATTTTGTCCGACAAAAAAGTGAATTTATTTTAATTTTAGATGTTATACAGAAAAATTTTAAGTACAATAATTTAGTTTTATTGTTATTTTTGTAGCATTGTATATAAACTAAATGATTTTGAAAAAAAATTCCATATTCAATAATCATTTAACCGATTTTTCGCTCAAGAATATAGCATGAGTACTTTTGCACTTTATTTTGTCCGATAGTGTACATACATACATTCATATATACATACATTCATATATACATACATACATACATACATACATACATACATACACACATACATACATACATACATACATACATACATACATACATACATACACACATACATACATACATACATACATACATACATACATACATACATACATACATACATACATACATACATACATACATACATACATACATACATACATACATACATACATACATACATACATACATACATACATACATACATACATACATACATACATACATACATACATACATACATACATACATACATACATACATACATACATACATACATACATACATACATACATACATACATACATACATACATACATACATACATACATACATACATACATACATACATACATACATACATACATACATACATACATACATACATACATACATACAAATGATAGCTTTCACTATTAAAAAACTTTTCAATTGCACTTTATTTTGTCCGATAGTGTATATATATATATATATATATATATATATATATATATATATATATATATATATATATATATATATATATATATATATATATATATATATATATCTTAATAATATCTAAGAATGCGATTGCATATTTTTCGCTTTTATAAACCAAACATATCCTTACAAATGAAAAACAGTTGAAAATGGGGAAAGAGATGTAGAAAACATCATATTCGAAATATCATCATATTCGAAATATTTCAAATTCGAAATATTTCAAATTTTGATATATATATCTTAATATATATATATATCTTAATAATATCTAAGAATGCGATTGCATATTTTTCGCTTTTATAAACCAAACATATCCTTACAAATGAAAAACAGTTAAAAATGGGCAAAGAGATGTAGAAAACATCATATTTGAAATATCATCATATTCGAAATATTTCAAATTCGAAATATTTCAAACTTTGATGAAAAACCAATGAAATTTACATAAGCGTTTCATTGAAAGAATGTGGTTAATTTTTGACATACAAATATCGGATTTTTACAGCTTCTAAAGATAAAATTAGATGTAGTTCAAAGTTGTCAAAAATGAACAACATCCGTCCAATGACACGCTAATGTAAAATTCATTCTACTTAAAATTTTTATATTACTGCTTAGTCGATTATTTTTTGCAAAAAATTTATTTGAATATAAACAAAACATATATATATATATGTATTTATACATATATTTATTCAATATATTGAATATATTTTCTCAATAATAAACATTTTGTAAAATTGTACACCTAAGTTACAAAAATAACGCACATTAAGCAATTTAACTTTATCGTTTAATTTAATATAAATTCAAAATGTATTTAATGAATTTTTTCAGATCGTAATAATATTTTCGTCCAAGGTATGCTGATTGATTCAAATGAGTTTAAGACTGAAATATATTCTGAATTTACAACAACATATATGCCTCAAATTTTACTGGATACATACATTTCCGAAGGCAAAGAAAAACTAATAAATAAATTAAACATTTCAACACCGACACCAGAGGGAGAGTTATATAAAAATATAAAATTTGAAGAAAAAATTGCGGATAAAAATACAGATATTAAATCAAGTATTCATTTTCCTGCTGCCTTATTTACTGAAACAATTCAGAGTTCAACTAGTAAACATTCGAACTCTTCACCAACATTGGAAAATTTAAATAAACAATATGAAAATAAGTCAATGACTGAATTCGCAACAACACATATGCCTCAAATTTTATTAGATACACAAATTTTAAAAAACAAAGAAAAGTCATTAAATAATTTTGGCAAGATTTTAACAAAGAATCCGGAGGAAGAATCATATAATAATATAAAACATGAAGAAAAAATCGGGGATAAAAATATAGAGGAGAAGGAAGAATCATATAATAATATAAAATATGAAGAAAATATCGGGGATAAAAATATGGACATTAAATCGAGTATTGATACTGCCGCTTCATTTGCTGAAACAATTAAAAATTTTACTAGAAAGCATTCGAACCCTTCGTCAGCATTGGAAAATTTAAATAGACTATCTGTACCAAAACGTGAGAAAATTTTTTCTTCTGAAAAAATTTCCTTGGAAAATTTTGAAAAAGACATCTCGGAAAATACATACTCAAACGAAGGTAATATCTCTCAATTTTGCAAAATATTAAAAATAAATACCTTAAAATTATTGAAAATTCATATTCATAAATTTTTGAATATAGAACTGTGGTTGTCAAGGTTCAATTATTTATAAATACTTTAACGTTTTTGTCTTTTAATTTAAATTTCTTTATTACCAATTACCTAGCCTATATGAGTCAAAATCTGGGATTATCACGAACATGGTTTATCTTAAAATTTAAAAGCTAATTTTAAGAGCATGATAACAAAATTATATACCATCGGAAGATATAAATAACGTTTATCAATATAGACATGTCTAAATAACAAGGCCAACTAAATGAAGGTTTGCAAAAACTTTTAAACCCAATTTAACTAAATTTCATTATTTTTAGTTGCCGAAACCGAATCTGGTATCGGCTTTTCTTTATCACCCACAGGGAATTGAATATTTAGTTCAACATTTTATATAATTATGAAAATATTTTAACGTTTATGTATTAACTCTTTCAAGTATACGGGACACGTTTACGATTTATAGCGTAACATGTTATTTTTTAGAATTTGATGACACTACATGCTAAAAAGGATATCCTTCAAAAACACTTTTTCCATTTTTCATCAAAAATGATCGATATACATTAGGGATGCCAAACGGGACTGGCTTTTACAAATCCCGGGATTCGGGATTTTGAAAATTGAAATCCCGGGATTTCGGGATTTTACGGGATTTCGGGATTACTTGAATTTAATTATTTTATATATGAAAATCTTTAAATCATCATATTTGTAAAGAAAATTGTTTAATTTTGTGGAAATTTAGCAGACAGAAGATATATTTAAATTAAAACAATCCAATTAATTACAATTTTTAAATAAAAACTTTCAGAATTGCATAATTTCTGAAACTTTTTAAATACATACTTACTTCCTAAATAAAAATAAATATCAAGTTCCGAAATTAGTCATAAGCACTTTTTAAAACCTCATACTGTTCCATGTGAACTAATAATTATAACAGATACCAATTCGATTATTCGAACATCAATTTAGAACCTATTCTTTGAAAAATATTTGGAATTTTACACAAAATACATATTAGTTTTGGAACATATTATTATATTCGTAGTAGGTATTAATTTAAAATTTTATGTGCATTCAGAACAAGGTAATTTACCTTTACCGGTATCACTCAGATTTGTAGAAAGTTAGAAATGTAAAATCCTCTAGTATTGAAAAATAAAGTTTGTATTCGACTGTGCCGAAATTAAATACCCACCATCAAAATATTGTAATGTATTGATATTAATAACAGCATCAATGTGATTTTCAGAGGAGGGCCAATTAGGTTTTCTTGTGTCAATTTTGGTCCAAATTTGCAGCCCAAATAGAATGAGTCTTCTAACTCGTGTTTTCAGCTTACAGACACAGAATGTGTATACTTTTTGGGTCGGTCTACGACCAACATTTCGATGTGTTAACAAGTAAGAAGTTATAGTTGGGCGAAGCCTACCATATAATACCCTACACCAGTTATAAAAATAAAATGTGATTTATTGTGCATAATAAAACATCTAAGTTGAATTGTACCTTGCCTCAGATATACTTTAGCTATTTTTTGTTGAATAAAATTGTGTACATTTAAGTCATATTTTGAAGGGGGCTTTGTATAGGAGCTAGGGTCAAATGAGGCCGTATCATCAAAAAATATATCAGGGTCATGAAGGCTAGTATAGAACTTGGCTTTGCAGCTTTTTGTCGAGATACGAGTATATTGAACATAATTATGAACTTAAAAGCCCTATTCGGGGGGTTCAGTTGTATGGGGGCTAGGTCAAATATTGCACCGATGCTACCCATTTTCAATAGGATCCGTCTCTAGTACAGACTGTCGAGAGTTTTAACGTGAGCACCTGCCGTGTCGGCCTTATCCCACGGTGGTCTTTTTCATCCACAGGGTAGACTTGAGAACGGTCTACCATCGCCCCTTTTTCTTCAATGAAGAACTCAGGTGGCAATTTTTGCACATTGGCTATGACCGGTCCATGCGCAAGTACTTTGCTGGAGTACTCGAGCTATCTAATCTCTTGCCAAAGTAGTCACGTTGGGGAAAGACAGGTATCATGAGCAAGCTCAATCTACCCCGACATAAAGTCGCCCAACCACACTACTATGGCTCTGTTGATTCGGCAACAGCACCTAGAGACGTAACCGGTGGACCGAAGCACGATCCATCAATAAGCCGTAGACATTGTTCTTACTCACAGTGACACGCTGTGGTAATTCTGATATGAACAGAGTATACTCTGAACATATCTGGACAAGGAAGGAAAATTAATCGGTATCACTTGTATATGATACCTTTCATCCATCATCATTCAACCCAGCACACTTCTCATTTATCCAACACATTCATAAGAGAAAAACATACGACACACTCATTTAGATATACGGGTGGACGAGGCCCGCATACCTCTACATTCATTCCGTATCATATACAATTGACTCCAACCCATTTCCAACGCTTAGTCCCACAGTCACTCCTCTGTGGGGTATCTGTTGTTTTCGGCAACAGCACCGAACTTATCCCGAAATATTGACTATTATCATGCATCAGTCTTTTAACCGCAACTTACTCTTCCTGCGAATTTGGGTTTAAACCACAGCCACTACGTGGATCCCGAAGGAACCTCAACCAACTGACCAGCCAGGACATAGTCCTGCGGGCAACTGGCCACCCGTAGTACCAGATTATGCGGTTCTCTGGTCTGACCTCTAGCAATCTATGCAAGGACTAAGCCAGGCAGTAGACTGTAACCAATTTTTCAGCCCCGGTCGGACTGGAGGTATTGGCCACCTCTTTATACCCCGGGAATGCAATAACACCAAGGCGGAGGTCTCGCCAAGGTAACATGCCCCCGGGGGGGGCCGTCTCTAGTACAATAGATCATGCAAACTTTCATTGAATTATCTTCAAAATTGCTGTAGTTTGATTACAAGGTTTACACGGACAGACGGACGGACATAGCTAAATCGACTCAGAAAATTATTGGTATACTTTAAGGTGGGTATAGGACCAATATTATTGTGCGTAACAAACATCAGCACAAACCCAATATACCCTTCCCACTAAAGTGGTGAAGGGTATAAAAACGAAGTGAATAAATAAATTTATATGTGCTATGTGTATGGAATCAGAACACTTTAAAAAATAAAAGGTTCAAATATGTATAAAATTAGCTCTGCGGAATTTAGTTTTGCATGAGTTGAAAATAAAATAAGATCGTAATTTTCAAATTAATGAAAATTATGGCTCAAAAAAAGAAAATAAAAACAGTTTTTTGAAATAAATCCCGGGATTTATTTTGAAAAATCCCGGGTTTCGGGATATCCTAATCCCGAAAAAAAATCCCGGGATTCGGGATTTGGAAAATATCAAAATAAAGTGTGGTGAAGTCATATCCATAAAAAGTCCAGCGGTTTGGTTTTGTGCGTGAAAGGGTTAATTTATATTTATTCGAAGAATTGAGACTATTTTCCCAAAATATTTTAAATTGTTAAATCATTTACAAAATTAGTTTTTGAGAAGATTTCCAGCCGGAAAAGTTTTGAATCTACTTAAAGATAACGACAATCCATCGAATTTTGGTCTTAAATTTCTAACAATATTTTCTTATCCTGTAATTCAACCCGTTCTTGATGGTTAAAAAGGGGCTTAAATATCAATGTTTATTTATGGTCAGATAAAATAAACTAAATTTAACACAAAAAGTTCACAAAATTTAAAAAATTTTTAAATTCAATTTGAATTGTAAGATTAGTTATAAAACAACATTCTCCAAAAAGGAATTGACACTGTAATTATTATTTTCTAACTTTTTAAATAAATAAAAAATTAACATTTTAAAATCAAAATTTATCGGAATTTCCCGAACTAGTAGTGACAGTCCTTTTTGAATTACAATTTGGTCTCGAGAAGATATTTCCCACATATATGGTTGACAACAGTCCCATTATCTTAATCTCCGGAGGTAAGAGCCGAGTTATAAAGCTTACTTAAGTTTTACAAATTTCATACTATTTTAAAAACTTATGTGTAGTTTCTTCTTTTTGCAAGAGCTGTAAAACCTGCTCTAATTGTAATATGTATATTTGATAACATTATCTTGAAAGCAGTGTGACCATTTTGGCATTTTTGCAGCTAGATTTAGCATTTTTTATTTTGATTTAGCTGTAAAATTTTAATTTAGCATTTGGCATTTTATTTAGCATTTTTATAAAATATTTTTAGCATTTTTAGCTTTTTTTTGCAATTTTAGTATATAAACAAAAAAAGACAAATTTTTGCAAAAAAGATTTATATTGGAAATAGGTTTAACCGGAAAAAATCAGAATTAAATGTCTACCCAAACACAAGCAACAAGAAATATGAGAAATGTAATAATTTACACTGCAATTCAAAATAATGCAAAAAGATTCATGAAGATAAATAACTTAAAATTACGCCAATACAAGTGAATACTTTAAAATGTTGTATTCTAAAATATTTTTCTGGAACCCAATGCTTTTTTAAATTCGAGGTGATAGAAATAATTCAAGAGATTTCATATATTTTTACAAATACGTTCAGTACGCTATTTTACAACCTAATACTATTTGTTTGCTCATGGAATGAAACATATAATTTTGGAAAAGGCTATATATGACGGTTAATTAACAAATTTTATTTTTTCCTATACGAAATAACGAGGTTTTAATTTTTATCATCCTTCAGGAGTTCTTGTTAATTAAAAAAATACATAAATTTCGAAAATATTATTGACAATTTATTCCAGAATTACAAACTTACGGATTTGAATATATCTCTCAATTCATTTCATACATTACATATTGCTAAATTTACAAAAATTTTGAAATAATTTTTAGCATTTCTGTTTATCTTAATACCACGGAACTTTTGAGTATACTAATCGGTTAAGAATCATTTTCTGAATCGATTAAGCCATGTAAGTCTGAC